CAAGAAGAAGAATGAGTTCTGCAACACTAATGGCGGGCACAGGAAGAGCACTGCTGGGATTTTCCTCCGCAGCCAAACGCCTCTCTTTTCTCAGACCCACCATTTATGCTTTCCCCTTAAACCCCAACATCGTTTTGCAGAGGTTTAGGCCACTCTGCTCCACCGCCACCGCCGCCGCATCTACCGCCGGAGGGGATACTCTGCAGCCGAATAAGCACAGCCTCTTATTGGATAGACTCAGATTCAGACACCTCAAACACTCTGCAAAAGCAGATGTTGCACCTCCAGTCAGTGGATTGAAGGAGGTGAAGGGGAATGGGCACGGAGAGGCGGCGGAGAGGAAAAGCGGGAAGAAGAAGGCGGTGGCTGCTTCGAGTTTTGAGGAGTTAGGGTTGAGTGAAGAGGTTATGGGGGCATTGGGAGAAATGGGTATTTCTTCCCCCTCTGAGATTCAGACTATTGGGATACCTGCGGTGCTTCGTGGGAAGAGTGTAGTGTTAGGGTCGCACACTGGCTCTGGAAAGACTCTTGCTTACCTTTTGCCAATTGTTCAAGTAATACTCCACTGCTTATTCTTGTTCCTTTTCATGGTATTCACTTCAATCAATTGAATCATGTAGTCATGTTCTTTAGTGAATTTCGATTTAGCCAGTCCATCCATCTTCCTACTTTTTTCAAAAGAACAAAAATTTCCTTTGGTATTTGAGTGGGAAAGAATTTGGTTTACCACTTTAAATATAGATTGTGGAGTGAATACCATGATTTTTTACTCCATGTCCGTACTCCGTTATATCTGTGTTGTATTATGTGCATCTTTTCTCTTGAAATCGAACTTGAAGTCACATTTACTTGATAAAGAGTACTAACCAACAACTTTTAGGAGTATGTTTGTAAATGCTTTTATATACTTCTTTTATGAATATTCTATATTTCTATCATGTAGTATAAAGAGAATACAGAGTACCTCGGTTTTTAAAATTATTTTTGAGAGCCTTCTGTAGAAATGTAGGGTGTAACTTTGATAGAATCTTCAAGTAAAATACATCCTGCAACTACAAAAATACAAGAATCACAGATGGATAACTATAATCTGTTATTTTGTTCTCATATTGAGTAACATTCTAATAGTCTTTGGTCAATATATTGATGTATTGAAATAATGGAAACTGTTTGGATTTGAGAGTGTGTTATTATTGTTTTATGTAGTGTGTGTGTGTGTCATGGTTAGCTAGCATCATTTGTTTAAAAGGGTCACTAGGACTTTAAAGAGTTGAATGTGTAAAGCACCACCCTGTCATTTGAGGTTTTAGAATTACATTTTACATGGTATATTCCCTTTTCAAATGTTTCTTACTGCACAAGGCAAAAAGAAAAATAATACTTGTTTTGTTGCTGCTTTTAGTTGTTGAGAAGAGACGAGGCATCAAATGGCATCCTAATGAAGCCGAGACGCCCTCGAGCTGTTGTTCTGTGTCCAACACGGGAGCTATGTGAACAGGTAGGTTTGTTCGGCTTTATGTGAATTTGATCTGTATATTTTTTTCAATAACATAACAGATACTGTCATACAACTAAATTTCATACTTTTGAGGCTGGCTGCAGGTCTTCCGGGTGGCAAAATCCATAAGCCATCATGCACGGTTCAGATCTACCATGGTAAGTGGTGGTGGGCGTTTAAGACCTCAAGAAGATTCCTTGAATGGCCCAATAGACATGGTTGTTGGAACCCCGGGTAGAGTTCTTCAACATATTGAGGAGGGAAACATAGTTTACGGGGACATTAAATACTTGGTAATTACAGCTTATTCATTATACTTATATTTCTCTGTGTGTGTATTTTCCTCCTTTCTCCAGTCAATAATATGTCATTCCCTTGTTCTAATGATGCCACTTTATTTCCATAGGTGTTAGATGAGGCTGATACTATGTTTGATCATGGCTTTGGTCCGGACATCCGCAAGTTCATAGGACCGTTGAAAACACGTGCTGCTAAATCTGATGGTGAAGCATTTCAAACTGTCTTGGTAACTGCAACAATGACAAAGGTTGTGCATTGTAATTGTACAATGATTTTAGTTCTAGGCTTATTAAGAACTTTAAAAAAGGGCTTCACAGTACTTACCCTGTGAAAATGACACAGTGATTAAGAGTAAAAAGAAAATTTTAAAAATGTCCTTGCCTACTTTTTTTAGTTTGGTAAAACTGAAGTGGAAAGTAGAAAAAATATGTAGGTTGTTGAGGGTAAACGTGTATTTTTATTTGAAATAAGTAAATGATAGGGAATGAGAAGTTGATTTTGGGATGACCAAAAATGAAAGCGGGAAGTTAATTTTGGGATGAAGAGAGTATTTTTTTAATGGCTCGACCTCATGAAAACTTGTATACTGTTAAGTTTTTTCCCACTTCTATTTCTTTTTCTTCATTAAATACTTGATGAGCTAGAAGCAAGCCACTCCCCCCATAGTTATAAGCAACACACACACACACACACTCGAATACACAATTGTGTTGTAGATATTTATTTCAAAAAAGGCAACAATAAATTTCAACCATACAATTCTTTTTTAAAAGGAAAGTGGAGTTTATTGTGAGACCATGATAAAGGAAACAATTAAATGTATGTTGGGGGTGGAGGGAGTACATGATAATAAGGTCTGGCAGTCCACTCTATCTACATAGGATCCTTAAGCTATGATTTTCAGGGCTCAAAGACTCGTATCAACGACTTGATTTGCTCTTAGTACTTGTAGAAGGTAGAATTGAGTATCTTTTGCATGATAAATCTTCAGGCAGTGCAAAAGTTGGTTGATGAGGAGTTCCAAGGCATTGAGCACATGCGTACTTCCTCATTGCATAAAAAGATTGCTTCTGCTCGGCATGATTTCATCAAACTTTCAGGTTCAGAGAATAAGTTGGAGGCATTATTACAGGTATACCCTTATTCGTTCCGTTGCCCCCCCCCCCCAAAAGTGAATCAACATTTAGGGACAATGACAAATGAAGTGGCAGTGAAGCATTCTTTCTCGTGCATGTTTATTCACGTGTTTACAAGTACATTTTATTCACCTGGTGGAAATAATGTGGTAAGCAGGTATTAGAGCCAAGTTTAGCCAAGGGAAATAGAGTGATGGTGTTCTGCAATACACTGAACTCGAGTCGTGCAGTAGACCATTTTCTTAATGAAAATCAAATCTCAACTGTCAACTACCATGGAGAAGTTCCTGCAGAGCAAAGGGTTGAGAACCTGGGAAAGTTCAAGAGTGAGGAGGGCGACTGCCCAACTCTGGTCTGCACAGACTTGGCTGCCAGAGGACTAGACCTAGACGTGGATCATGTCGTCATGTTTGATTTTCCTTTAAATTCTGTAAGCATCAAATTTATTTCCTCTCTTCTTCACATCTTCTTTCATGCATTTTTTTTGCCTTCTGAAAGGAGTGAAAGTAGTAAAAGTACAAAGAAGCTCAGATGTTCCCTTATTATATCTCTCAGATTGATTACCTTCATCGCACAGGGAGAACTGCTCGCATGGGCGCCAAAGGTAACATTTCCCAGATTGTTTGTAACCCCTCTATACTCTGGTTACTTTGGTAGTTAGGCTAAGCATGGGTTTGACATGACAAGATGAAAGATTAAAAAAATGCAGGGAAAGTGACAAGTTTGGTTGCTAAAAGAGATGTGCTTTTGGCAACTAAGATTGAAGAGGCACTAAAGAAGAATGAGAGCTTAGAGTCGGTGTCGGTTGACAGCATTAAACGGGACATTGCGAGATCCCACATAACAAAACAGAAGGAGAAGTTGGTTAAAGCTTCAAACACAAAAAACAAGAAGCAAAAGACATCCTCAGACAAGGTATCATCATCATCATCTTCAAATAATACCAGCAGACAGAGAGGAGGAGTAGCACCTGTCAGAAAACCTTCAAAGGCAAAATTTTCTGGCAAAGCACCAAAGACTCCATCATCATCAAAGCAGCCAAAAAGAGTAGTAAGCCAAGGATCTAAGAAGAAGATATCAAGCGGGAAGAAAAAGTCGGATAGTAGAAAGCCCGGCACATCAAAACTAAATGTTGTTGGATTCAGGGGCCGCAGTTCATTGTCGAGTGAGAAGAGAAATATGAAGGCTGCTTGATGTTTGTATGTATGTATGTATCTCCCCTCTTTGAGTCTTCACTCTTGATTGTTTTTTAGTGGGGGCATATTTTGTTTTTCTTTCATCACTCTACACTACACTTAATCATGATTAGTGTTCATTTCTTCGATTCTCCATCCGTCTGGATTTAGTATTCCACTTTCTAAAAGATCTCATTTTTAAAGAGCGAGTGTAAGATATCAAAGAAGTCCTTTAAGATTCTTGGAGAAAAGGAGTGTTTCCCCGACATTTTATATAAATTCTTGGAATAATTTATACCAATATTTAAATAAGTTTATTTGAAAATAATTTGAATCACATCTCATAGACTAAAATGTGATCTTTATAAAGGGACTGAAGATATTGATGCTCATTTTATGAAAAATACTAAGTGTACCCTAATTTTGACATCACTTTTGATTTTACTTTCTTATAGACGTTTCAAACATGAATAAGTTATATACTAAAATACCACATGCTCACGTGACATAGCTCAATCAATCAAAATCAGTCGGTGGCATTCTAGTGGAGCGGCATACCATATAGTTGCAATTCATTATTTTTTGTTATTTGTATTTTGATCTAAAGATTTAAATAATATTCCATTTAGTTTTACTATTCAAAGCATATTTAATTGAAAAAAGTATATCTAGTTACGGAGCATAATGTTTTTTAAAAAAATTGTTCTTTTATGGGTAATGCTATGTTCACAAATTAAACTTACACAAAACTCACAATCTTTGCCACATCATCATATCATTTAATAAATAAAATAATAACAAATAAAATAACAAATCCCAACAAATAAACTACAGAGAAATACGGAGGAAAGCATCAAGAGTTTAGACACAACAAGGTAACAAAGGTTTTCACGGCTCCTCATCTTCTATCTACCTACGATCAATTGAGTTTCTCTTCTAATGTAAGTGCCTGAATTGTCTTGCTATATACTCCGTCCATAATTGAAATCTGAGTATAACTTGTTTTATGTTGTTTAAATCTCAAACACTCCACCTGGAATACCTCTGGCCTATCCAAATCTGAGTATAACTTGTTTTATGTTGCATACACCATCCATCCATCCCATGTACAAAATATAAGGGTCATTTACATATGTGTGGTCTCAATGACTACTTTTTATTTTGGTTTAAATTAGGATGGAACAAGAAGATAAAGAACATACCTCAGAAAGGGTTGAGGAAACAGATTCGGGTATAGAGATTGTACCATCATTGATTGAAGAGCCCAAGGTTGGAATGAACTTTGATACTATTGACAAATTACTAATGTATTACAAAACATATGGTTGAATAGAATCTCTTATTGAATTTCTATCAATGGTGTCCTACTAGTTTATTGTTTAAAAATGTGTAAAAGTTGCTAGAAAGAGGATTTGAACCTCTACCCTTGTGGTTAACCACAGGCTCTGACCATTGAGCTACACTAGCCTTTATTTATTGAGTTGTGTTGTAGATTCTATAGAAACAAAAAATTCTCAGCCTTCATTCGCTAGTTTTTTCTCGCAACTAAACAAAAAATTCTCAGCAAACACCCAGGTGGTTTACAGTCATATCGTTGAGAGTGAGCAGACAAACAAAAAAGAAATAAATTAAAAAAAGAGACAATGACCAAGCTTAGTCATTTTGCAATGATTTGTGTTATTAGGTTGCTAAAAAAGAGACAAGTATAATGCATTGTTTAAGAAATTGAATCAGCTCACTAAATAATCAACAATAAAACTTAAAAACCAGCAAAAAAAACTTAAAAACCAGCAAAATATGGAAAATTTGGTGAGAGATGTACTGTGGCAGCATTAAAAAATGAAAAATTTGGTTTCAGGTAAGTGGGAGATGCACTCTGGCAGCATTAGCACTCCATGAAAAATGAAATTGGGGAAATAGATCAACAATAAAACTTAAAAACCAGAAAAAATAATGTACAACTAATAACCCACCAAATAAACAAGCAAAAAAAAATCACTAGCATAGGCAACAAAAATAAATATCTCAAAGAAAGACAGCAATTACCGCAATTTGTCTAAATTGATAATACCAATTTGCGATGATGAATAGATAAGGCCAATTATTGAAGATGAAGCAAAATTTGATACCGTTTCCATCTTGTGTTTGCCATAAAACTTGAGAAAGATCCTCAAAATTAGCTCATCAACTCATGCAATCCGAAAGGGAGATGGCGAAAATTAAGAGTAAAACTAATTGAAGATGAGAACATAGTGGAAAGCTGAGATCGGAAGCAATTATGTGTGTTGAGATCTGGAGGAGAGGTGAGAAGCTTTTTGTTGCAGAAATAGTGAGCTGAGATCGTAAATGGAGTTTGGTGAGATGGGAAGTGGAGTTTGCTGAGATCAGTATTTCTCACTAATTTTTTTGTTGGAATTTTGTTATTATTTTATTTATTAAATGATATGATGATGTGGCAAAGATGGTGAGTTTTGTATAAGTTTACCCTTCTTTTATCCACCATTATCTACTTCCTTCAAAACAAATGAATAAAAATCTCCTTTTGTATCGCATCCCCCTCGCCCGTTACAATCGCTCCCTCTTTGCTTGTATCGCGTCCACTTCGCCCATACATTAATGTTTGTACGAAAAATAATGTCATAGATCTGGTTATCTTCAATTGTTTATAATTAAGCAAATCACAAATAGTTTTAAATATAATTACAATCAAATCAGAACTTATTCCAATCAGATCAGATATATTCCTTATAATTCTCTTTTTGGGCCTGGAAAAGTGGAATCTAGCGGCCCATTCAGGCTGTGGCTTCGACGGCCCTATAATTCAGCATTTCGCTTCAGTCTCCCACTTCACCGTCCCTCCGTCGCCACTCACCCGGGAACATGTATCGACGCCCGCCGATCCGTCTCTATCAATCCATTCTCAAACGCAGTTTCCGGAAATTCGCAAACCCTAGATCTACATTTCCGCCCGAACAACCCCTAATTTCAGGGCCGAACACACTGTTGGAACCCCCCGGGAGAAGCCTTCTCCGCCGCCTTCATCCGGCGAGTGCGAAGGTTCTGCCCGATCTACGGCTGTACAGCGCCGACGCAGACAGAGTAGTGGATGAGATCAACCTCAAGTTCGCAGAAGCAAGGGAGGAGATAGAGTCGGCGATGGAGTCGAAAGAAACTCTCTACTTCGACGAGGAAGCCGAGTGCGCGCGCAAAGCTGTGAATGAAGTTCTGGAGCTGTACGAAGGGCTGCTGCAGAAGCTGCCTGAGAAAGAAAGAGAGGCTATACAGAGATCCATGGGGCTCAAGATTGAACAGCTAAAAGCCGAGCTTGAGCAATTGAATGAATGATTTATTTTACAGTTTGCCTTTTTCTGTTTTGTTTAGTTTTAATTTTCCATTGGTCGATCCATGGTGAATTTCGCAGATTGTTGTTTAACAGCTCTTTTATTTGTTTTACTGGGTAATTTTTACTGCAGAATCGGAATGTTTTGGAATGCAATTTGTTTCCTACTCCGTATGAAATTTGTTTCATATCAGCTTCTTTCAATTAATATATGATTAATACTCCGTATAAAATAACATTATATTTTTAAATTTATGACATATCACATCAAACACGAATAATAATGCTTTTTTTAATCCAAATTATAGTTTTCTTACATATTTCTTTGAATGATCATGGAATTGAGTCATTTTTAACATTTAAAGTGTTCCAACATTTTCTAACTCCTAGCTTCTTCTAATTTCTTCCAGTTTCTTCCAACATCCAAGTCACTCGAACATGGTCTTAAGAGACAAACGGATCGGACTGGGTTCTGCCAGTTTCATAGATTTATAATTTGTATGCACGAGGAATAAACACAAGAAAAGATAAATGCATAGCCATTGTCAACTGTTGTAGTGTAGTGCTACAAAAATAATGCCAAAACCATAGTCTGTTAAGTATAAGATTCTCCCGAAAAAAGAAAAGCGAACTGGTGTTTCCTAGATTTCGGACGGATATTTGTTGTACATTTCTGGCTTCAAAACCCCGACATAGGGTAGGTTCCTGTACTTCTCGGCAAAGTCCAAACCATATCCAACTATGAAATAATCGGGGCACTGTCAAGCAGAAGAGATGAAACATGAAGAAGACTGATGAACTGAAACTATACAAAGGCACGAGGGAGGCTAGTTCAGACATATATATAAATCCCATTTTACCTGAAAACCTCTGTAAAACTTGCCATCCCCAACCACCTCAAAACTGACCTTCCGCCTTGACGGTTTATCAAGAAGGGCACACACAGATACAGATGATGCTCCTTTTGCCTTCAAATGTTCAATGAGGCAAGATAGAGTGTTTCCCGTATCCACTATGTCCTCGACCTGCATCAAAAGCGAGAGAGAATCATGTTTATAGACTTGTTCTTGTCGGAAAAAAACATATTTGAACAAAAAACACAAAGGCCTCTTGTTAGGTTAAAAAAACTTGTACTAAAAGCACACTAAAACCCCGACCGCATATATATATATATATATATATTTGATTGGACACAAATGTAGTTTTTTTGTCAATCCGGATACACATTTGTGCCCCAGCCATAATATATTTGTGCTCTCAATCCATTTTGTATTGTGTCCAACCCACTCTTACAGCTTGAATTTGAGATTAAACGTCTAGCTCATTCTCCTACTCTCCTTCGTTATTTCTCATAAGCTATGGGAGAAAGGAACATCTAAAAATCAATCATCAAATCATTGCATCCGCCATTATTTTTCGCGAGGATATAGTCCCACGTTGAACACTCGGCTAAAAATGACTAATACAGAGTATATAAGAATATGAGTTTCCCCTACCATTGCCGATTGGCTTTGAGTTCGAATATCATAATTCTACAATATCCAGCATTTTTAATAAAAGGATATCTCAAAATTATTTAATTTAGCTAAATAAATTAGCAATGTATATGTATAAATCGTGCTCTTCTGTAAATTATAATAGAATTGGTTACACAATACTGAAGAATTCAAATCAAATTTGAAATCAAAGGTTACCAATGACTTACCAAAACCACATGCTTTCCTTGAACATCAGATTTCAAATCGCAAGAAATGCTGGGCTTGCCACTGGAGACTGTACCCGAACCGTATGAATCGACCCGAATAACATCCACCGTGATTGGGAGGTGGATTTTCCTGACAAGGTCCGCCAGAAAGATAAGTGCTCCGGTGGCAACGCCGACGAAGACGGGGGCAGCGGCGGCGGAGAAGTCACGGGTGATTTCCGACGCGAGGTTGGACACTCGGTCGGAAATTTGTTTCTCAGTCCAGAGAACCTTCTCTATGTGATCGCCTATATTGATGATGGCCATCAAAAAAAGCTATGGATTTTGGGGTAGGGTTCTACACAGTAAGCCCAAGCCGAGTGCCCGTGAATTTATTTTCCTCGTACGTTTTTTAATTACTTTTCTCCTTTTTTATAAAGATTTTTTACATTAAAAAAAATTGATATAGAAATAATATCCCAACATAGATTGCTATGTTCCTAAAAGGGATGACTTTCCTTCTCTAAAAGGGAGATAGTATGTGCCTACATCATTTTAATGTCAAGATTATCAATATCAAAAGATCAATTATGTATTATTATTTGAATATTGAGGTAGATTAAAAAATAAAAATTGCATATTAAATGTCAAGTGTTTTACGAAGCAAGATGTTGCATGACTATGGCATGTTCTCTTCACCTGATATGACTCGAATAAGTTCTGATCTGATCTGGCGTGATCTGAATGTAATTATATTTAAAGTTATTTTTGATCTGATCTGATCTGAATGTGGTTATATTTAAAGCTATTTTTGATCTGAACTGATTTGATCTGATCTGATTCCAATAAAATAAGTAATACGTAAGAAAATTGGGGAGAACATAGCCTATGTTATTATATCAAATAAACAACGAAAATAATTTTAAAAAAAGTGGATAAAACTTGACTTTGTAAATATTCAACAGACATTATGTTGAGAATAAGGTCACGTTCTTTTCACCTGATCTGATTGATTGTGATCAAATTAAGATAAGTTCTGATCTAATATGCTCTGATCTGATCTGGTTTGATTGTAGTTATATTTAAAATAATTTCTGATCTGATCTGATTAGATGGAGTGTGTATTTTTTTAATTCGGTCCAGACCAATTCGGTACCAAGTATTTCGGTCCAGTTCGATTCAAACCCGAATAGATTTAGGTTGGGTCTTCGGTCCGTGATTTTATTCAGCGCGGTCTTCGGTCCGGTCTGTGTCTGTCTTCAGTCCTACTTTTATCTATCTTTATACTAGTGCAATAGAGTATGTTATCATTAATACAATTGTTCAATAGTAGAAAGGAAATACTCTTTATATTTGAATTCACTTCTCATTGAAAGACACTCCGGATGTAGTTTAATGATAGGAAACTCAATCATAGGAAGGGTTATTATGTTCCAAATGCAACAATCGTTAGTTGTTCGATGTCTGGTCAGCAGTTTGTGATAACTGTTTAGGAAAAAACAGTTAGGTTTTTTTACTAAGGAAAAAAAAAGTTGGTTAAAATAAATTCTTGTGTCAATTGTTTCAAATTTTGAAAGTAAAAAACCCCTTAAATGATACCGAGTACTCCGTAAAATTTGTGGAAAAGGTGACCAAATTTATATAGATCCAAACATTACCTTACCATTAAAACATACAGTAATAATCTGGAAAAAAAAGTTGAGGCAAAACAAAGCCTATCAACATTGGTATAGTTAGATGAGAGAAGTCTTTCCATGGCTCATAATTATTTTGAAAAAAAAAACTATACTAGAAGGAAGAGCTACAGGGCATTTGAAAGTACGGGGAAAAACGCTTTGGGACGAGTTGCAATGGGACAACTGGTTACAAAAAATGAAAAGTAAGCAGAGAAGAATTGGATTGTAACAAACCGGAAGTGTATAAGGTCGACGATAAATAGATTTGAGACCTAAACTACGCCCTCCAAAAGGCAGATCCGTTCACCAGTGTCATCCGAATCAGCAAGCACAACCACCTCTTTGCTCACTATCTGGAGAGGCCTCTGGAATTCCCTGGAAGTATCTGGAACCAGGTAAAAAGTATTACTATCATATTAACAACAGATACATAAACCCAATGTAATGACAGCAATTTTGACCTGGATACCTAGTAAAATTTGATGGTTAATCCTGAGGTGGAATCTCAGTACTAAGTTCTATAACCGTAAAATCAAAAAACCTTATCATTTGGACACTCTTTGTTGCCAAAGTCACCACATTGTATAGATATATCTTTGGTGTTAAATTCAACAATTAGGGGTTCATCCAGCTCCCGTATAATCAAATGCCCAGTAGCTCTTCCCTTTAGGTGTCTGTTTGGCAATAACTTCAGCATTTAATTAGCTTTAGCGCTTAATATTTAGTGTTTTCAAAGTTTATATGCACCGTTAAAATTTATTCAAAACGCTCTCGCTAATTAAAAATGTTATTCCCAAACAAGGCCTAGTTTAGTTTAGGCAAAGTGAGCTGTTTCCCGGAGAGCCTAAATTGTTTTTACTTTCAATTATGAGCGTTAAGAATACTATAAAAATCAACAACTTGATGAGCCCTAGCCACACATTAATTGATCCCGGTCAACATATTTAAGCATAGTTTGCAAGTTGTATCTATTGTCTAATGCCATTTGATTTTTACTACGTAGTAAAAATTATTAGATCAAGTATCATTTGTATATTCTAAAAAGCATTTTGTAATGAAGTTTTCCACTAAAATATGTGTGGGTCTGCATGCACATGCTGACATTTACACATTTTGTCAAGTTTGAGGCAAAATATTGTTTTTTAATGAAAGTGTGCACGATGAACAAACGCAAAATATTGTTTTCTAATGAAAGTGTGCACGATGAACAAACAAGATGTTTGGAAGCCAAATATGACACCTCTATGGGACACAACATTGATTTCTACGTATTGAAAACCAAAGAAGAATTAAAATAGTTGCATGCTACAATTACATAACAAGAAGATATGATTTGTCATTGCATAAACAGAATGCACACACATATATTAACGCCAGTAGAGCAAATTCATAACATGCACTTACATATCTTGTTCATGCTCGTTGGCCAAAGCAGTTTTGGCGATACACAAGAATGCAGCATCTACATTTATGTCCTCCTTGGCAGATGTCTCATAGTAAGGTATGTCCCCTTTGGAAGAGCACCACTCTTTTGCTTTCTTTTCTGAAACCTGTGCGCATATATACGATAAGTACAGAGAGACAGAGAGAGAGAGAGAGAGGTTATGTTGTAAAAGCGTGTCTGAAGGGTGCATAAAATATAAAAATCTTACCACTCGGCTATTCCCACCATCTATATCAATCTTGTTTCCCAATAAAATGAAAGGAAATGTCTTTGGGTCAGAAGGATTAGCCTGCACACCATTAAAAGAGAAATTCCTATTCAAAGTGATCACTGATCAGTGCATAAAATTCACATTTTTAGGAGAGATTCCTCAGAGTGGCTAAACTGCCAAAACATAGAGGTATCAAATAAGAGAATTAAGAATAGTTTGCAATCTCTCTTTTAGAAAATAAAGCATGGATACAAAAACTCCTGAAAAAGGGAAAAAAACTATTGCACATTTGCACTAACTTTAAAACATTAACAACAATGAAACCAGAATAATGCCAACACCATTGAGGTATAGGTGTGAAGACGTAGGCAACGCTGCATTTACCACCCAAAAATTCATATGAGTATAGAGTAAGAAACACAGGAAGTTTAATGTGCCAATTTAATTTAGTCTATTTTTTACCTGGAGCTAAAAAAATTCAATGATAACTCTTTTAGCTCCATTGGCAACATGCGCATAATTGCAATAACTTTTAAGAACAAAATTATTTAGTTATTTGGTACTCTAGTAAACTTTTTGCTCAACATAGAAAGAAAAACTAGCCAACCTGCTTGAGAAATTCTTCATGCCAGGTATCAAGGTTGTCAAAGGATCGCATCACATTGACATCATAAACTTGCACACAACAGTCCGCCCCTCTGTAAAATGCAACGCCGAGACTCTGGAATCTCTCTTGCCCAGCCGTGTCCCAAATCTATAAAAATACGATTGAGCTACTCAAGTTCTTAAAACGTGACATTGAACGACAATTGCACAAACCTTTTTAAATAATTAAAAAACCCTGACTTGCAGTGTAATGAGCCTATCATCAATTTGAAGCTCCTTTGTTACAAAATCAGCACCTATTGTGGCTTTATACTGATGGCTGAACCTCTTATGCACATATCTATAGAAGCAATTAAAGACCCACACATACAGAATCGCAGTCAAATAAACACTACTCTTGAGTAAAAACTCACACAAAATCTCATCTGTAAATGGGAATAAAGTAAAGAAACCTATAATTTCCAGATCAAACATAAGAGGGGGAAAAAAGTCCCCCAGTAAATCTCTACCCAACAAAGATCGGAAAATAGAATTAGGGACCTAAAGGTTGAAATTGAATGAAACGAAAGAAAAAAACAATCTGCACTGGAAAAGGATACTGATTCATCAATGAGGTTTTGCCGACCCTGAGTAAAAATACAATTAGGTGAAATTATTATTATTGTTGTGAAATTAAAGCAGTAATCTGTAACATCTGATCAAAAGAAAACGCGTACCCACTGTCGCCGAGGACGATGACCTTGAGCAACGTTCTTCTGCGCGCAGACATGGCGCAAACTGAACAAAGACAAATTCTTTTTGCCTTTTCCAAATCTGGGTAGGAATTGTTTAGAGAAATTATAGGGGTTCCGTAGTTGCAGGTTGGACAGTGAGAAGAAGGTCACAAGGGGACGAGGCTGTGGAGAAAGGGGCGCCAATTTCGATCTCCGTCAGTTAATTGAGATGGCCGGCGGACCCAAATAAAGGCGCTTTAGCCATTTTCTAAACGTGATTCGCACCATGTCTTTTGTAGGGACTGACAGGTAGTTTGATGACTTAGATCTTACTACCTCCCCTCAAAATTTATTTGTTCGAAAAAAACAAAACTAAACTAGACAAATACACTGTAATCTGTAATGGAAGGGTATATTTTTTATCCCATTAATTTATCATATATTTTTTTATTTAATTATATACTCCCTAATCAGTAAATTTTTCCAGTATGATTCAAGAAATTTTCTTTGATTTGTTTCAGGAATTTTTTGTTGTTATATTAAGAACATCTTTAATAAGTATTGCTTAAAACAGAATTCTTAACTAAGATACGATTGTTTCACTAAATAACTTGTCCAAAAAAACCGTGGTTCACATTAGTTTCTCATCACGAGTTTAATTACTATAAAATCCTAATTGAATACACCTAGATATTTATAAATATCTAAATTGAATGAATTTAAACTTTTTAATATCTAAATTAAATCTCTCAATTTCTTCATTCATTCATCTCTATTTCTTTTCTCTTGTTTTCCCACTTTCCAACTAAACAGGTCAGTAGCAAATTATCAGTCTCTTTATTATTTGAGTCTTTCGACAATTTTTGTTCACGTAGCAACATATGTGTTTTCATTTATTATTTGTAAAACAAAATCTTCGTGTCATCATTTGTTTTATAGAATATTTTATGTAATTTTTAAATATATAAATTTTATTTTTTATTTCAATGTCAGGTGGTAAATAAAATAAAATTAAAAGAGTTTATTTAACACATTCTTTGGAAGGGGACAATAATTTAGAGACGAATGAGGGAATTGTATGTGTTTCTGTTTTCTCATGCATGTTAATACCATACCCACCAAAAAAAAGTGGTAAAAAAACAAGAGTAACCAAGTTAAATTACCAAACTAATGCAAAAAAAGTGGAAGTTTTTCCTTCCACTTGTAAAGAATTTAGAATGGCATCTCTTGTCCATATATAAATTGTCCATGCAAAAACCAACTTTTTGGGTAAATGCAAAAACCAACTTTGAGGTGGTGTTACACCCACACACATACCCCCCAATCACTTGGCTTTGATTTTGGCACATTACATCACCTTTTTCTAAAGGCTATATATATGCCGCAAGCATCTCATGTCCATTGAATTGGATGCCATACTTCATTCTTTTTCTTCTTCCCAACTAAAATAACAAACAAAAAGGCTAGTAAACTGTTTCTTTTTTTGGCATAAGACGTTTGATTATTGTCACTTGTTGGAATTATCATTCACTAGCTAGCTTTTAAACGTGTGTGATAAAAAAGATTATTGATCAAGTGTTGATGTGAGTGTGTCATGGAATTTACAAATGGATATATGATGCCACCTAATGATCTTCGTCTTCAAGAACAGCTTGCATCCCCTTCTCCATCACAAATGACAAAATCTTCAAGTGACGACGAACATCAAATTAGAGGCAACGAAAGTCCCGTGAAAATCAATTCACTTACGCAAACTTCAATTGACAATGGTTACTCCGTAAAAGGTTGCCGGCATCACATATAACTACAAAAGAGCATAGTCATGTTTTTTGAGTTTCAACTACACCTTTATGAATTTATTTTCTTGGATAATTCATTGGGTAGTTCCATATTATTCTTTAGGACCATCCTAGGAACCCGACCACCACAGTTATCCAAATAAATGACAATCACAGATGATTTATACGTACACAAACAATAATGAGATATTAACGACACAGATGATTATCGTTTGTAGATGTATTGTCTGTAATTATCATCTATGGAGGAACTTGGGGTTTTAATATTATTCAATTGTTTATTGTTACTTTATCAACATTATTGTAATGTGTAGGTGATTGTGGAGAAAAAGGAACAAATGGAGAGTGGTTTGTCACTAACAACCCAAGTTTTACACATTACTATATTAATGAGGTATTTGAGTCGCCACACTTTTTAGTATATATAAATTTGAAATAGAAAATCTCTTTTTTTTTGACGAGTTGAGTAAAGGTGCAATAAAAAAGATATTGTAACTTTGTACCCTAGTAACAACTAACAACTTCGTATAATGCATTATCAGTGACTCACATGGACAATCATTCTAATTATTGTCTGTGATACACATTGGTGTGCAACATGGTATACAAGTTGGGTACACATAGCACACCTGGTGCAATAAACATGTGACGTTTTGATCAAGAACACTCTGTCTTATGTTGCTTGGAATCTGATCAGGATAATGAGCCATTGACAAGGGGAGAATTTGATGAGTACAAGAAGAAGGTAACAGTAATCCTGCAAGAGTACTTTGAGAACGACGATAAAAGCTCAACGGCCAGTGAACTGAGAGAATTGGGAATGCCATTTTTCAGCTTCTACTTCGTCAAAAAGCTCGTCTCCATGGCCATGGACAGGCACGACAAGGAGAAGGAAATGGCCGCTCTTCTACTCTCCTCCCTCTACGCCCATCTCATTCAACCCTCCCAAGTCTACAAAGGCTTCGCCAAGCTTCTGGAATCCGTCGACGATCTGATCGTCGACATACCCGACGCCGTCGACGTTCTGGCACTGTTCATAGCCAGAGCCGTGGTGGACGACATTCTCCCGCCGGCATTCCTGTCGAAATCCGCGGCGTCTCTGCCGCCGGAGAATCGGAACGGAGTCGAGGTCATCAACAGGGCTGGGAAGAGCTACCTGTCGGCTCCCCTGCACGCGGAGGTCATCGAGAGGCGGTGGGGCGGGAGCCGGGGCCGGACGGTTGAGGATCTGAAGGGGAAAATCAACGGCCTGCTCAAGGAGTACGCGGTGAGCGGGGACAAGAAGGAGGCTTTCAGGATCATCAAGGATCTGAATGTTCCTTACTTTCACCATGAAATTGTGAAGAGATCGGTGATTGCGAGCATGGAGCGGCCGCAGGACGAAGCTAGGGTTTTCGATCTGTTGAAGACGGCGGCGGAACAAGGCCTGATCAATTCAAGCCAGATCTCCAAGGGATTTGGCCGCATAATCGAATCCGTCGACGATTTGTCCCTCGACATACCAAATGCCAAGGCCATCCTCCAATTGCGGATCTCCAGGGCCGCCTCCGACGGGTGGCTCTCCGCCTCCTCTCTCCCGCCGATATTTCCTACCCATTCGGGACACCAGAATGCTCCAGATCCCGCCGCATTGAGTCATTTCAAGACAAAAGCTCAATCCATGATTCAAGAATATTTCCTCACCGGTGATATCTCGGAAGTGAGCCGTTGTCTGGAATCGGAGAACGGTTCGTGTTCCCCGGAGTTGAACGCCATCTTCATCAAGAAACTGGTGGGGCTAGCCATGGACAGGAAGAACAGAGAGAAGGAGATGGCCTCCGTCTTGCTATCGTCCCTGTGTTTTCCCACAGATGACGCGGTGAGCGGTTTCACAATGCTGATCGAGGCTGCGGACGACACGGCGCTGGACATCCCCGCAGCGGCGGAGAACCTGGCGATGTTCCTGGCCAGGGCGGTGGTGGACGAGGTCCTGGCCCCGCAGCACCTGGAGGAGATCGGGATCCGCCTCCAGGGAGCGGGAAACACCACGAGAGTGGTGGAGACGGCGAGGTCGCTGCTGGGGGCGAAAATGTCGGGGGAGAGAATCCTGAGGTGCTGGGGAGGAGGAGGGAGCGGGGCGGGGAACGGGTGGACGACGACGGAGGACGTGAAGGAGAAGATGAAGATACTGCTGGAGGAGTTCGAGAGCGGCGGGGACTCGAGGGAGGCGCGGCGGTGCATAAAGGAGCTGGGGATGCCATTCTTCCACCACGAGGTGGTGAAGAAAGGAGTGGTGATGATGATGGAGAAGAAGGGGTGCGAGGAGAGGGTGTGGGGTCTGTTGAGGGAGTGCTTCGGGACGGGGTTGGTNGTGACGGTGAACCAGATGACGAAGGGGTTCGTGAGGGTGGGCGAGTCGCTGGATGACCTGGTCCTGGACGTGCCCGATGCGAGAGAGCAATACAGATGTTACGTTGATCGGGCTAAGATGGAAGGATGGTTGGACGCCTCTTTTACATATATAGCTAACTCCTAATATTAGTACTTGGGTGTTTGGCTTATTATCTTTTTGAACTTTGGTCAATCATCACGCTTTGTTTGTCATCTAGACTTGAACAATTAACCAACTATAACTAATTTACACCATCATTATTGTTGTCGCTTGTGTGAACCTTCTTACTCTCTTTTGACTATGGGTAAGCTACTTTCATGATATGTCACCAAGTTATTATAGTTGTGTGAAACTTTTTAGATTTTTGCTTAGTTAAAATTTCCACACTTAAGTCAGCACTTTGAAGTATGTCTATGCACCAACAAAATTTTGCTAACGAATCAACTCGCTCCTACGCCCACTTCAGTCTCGATGCTCCTTATGACCAGGCCATCACTAACTCCAGGTTTGATCATCCATCTCTCGAAATTCGCTCTAAGTCATGAGCATGCTTCAATAAGCAAAAGACTTATTGTCCTTTCCAATGCTCCACATGCATGTTACCTTATCTTAGTTAAGTCGATCGATGCCCAAACATTTTCCTTTTTCAGACACCTATGGCGCGGCCAACCCCTCACCATTCATGTCAAGGCTTGTCAATGCTAATTAATAATACTTATGTGATGGATGTAGCTTGTCTTTCATGACCTGGTCACACTCTGCATGGTCATATCTAGATGATCGAGGGAGACAATGAGATTTGGGACATGTTGAACCTTGACGAGGATAGATGCATCAAACCAACAAGTTCTCAAAAGTATGCCTTGAAATTTCTTGATTCTAGCAAGGAAGAACTAAATAAATTGACGTATCCATTAACCTCTTATGATGGATTTAATTTGATTATTAATTGTGTCAAACTCAAGCTTTGTTTTACTTTCTAATATACTATGTAGTTGTGTAAAGTACTTGGACCGAATTTTCTATTCTAGACCGGACTTAGAATAACAAGTAAGTCAAGAGATTAATTACTCAAAAAAATAATACGAGTCATTGGAAAGGTTGTAGGTAGAGGCCATGTAGCCCAAATATATTATTAATATTTGGTAGAGAAAGAATGCAAGTGGGGGAAAGAGCACATGACTATATCTCAATACTAAAATTGGATCTCTTTCCCAAGTAAACTAGGATTTACTTGCTACTTGCTACCCACCGTGGACAGACCACGTGGGAGCAATGTAGACAACTAGGACGAATCATTGGGTTGATGGTCATTTGCACCATAATGTTTACACAACACCTTGGTTCCCATGACATTGGTGTCATGGGATAACCCGGGAGCGCTCCGGTTCCCCGTTCGTAAAATTGATGATTCCTACCCCCCTAACCCCCCCGGTAAACCCCCCCACCCCGCCCCGACCCGAACACACCCCCCACCCCCTTCAATTGCACCCCACAAGTCGATTTTGACTTTGGAGTCAAAATTTGACTCCAAAATCAAAATCGACTTGTGGGGTGCAATTGAAGGAGGTAGGGGGTGTGTGTTCGGGTCGGGGCGGGGTGAGGGGGTTTACTGGGGGGTAGGAACCGTCAATTTTACGAACGGGGCACCGGAGCGCCCCCGGGTCATCCCATGACATTGGTTCCCAATGTCATGGGAACCTTCCCCCACAACACAATTGTTTTATGAATAGTAGTGTGTGAATAGTTCCCAATTACTTTTAACTAATTTTAATTGTTCCAATCTTTTTCTATTTATTTCCAATATCACACTATGATTTTCAAGTTCGAAAGAACATGCTCCTAAATTGGTTGCAACCCATGCCACTTTATTCTAGTATATTTCGATTTCTTCCAATGTTCAATAATGTTTTTCTAACATGAAGGCTCGTGTTTGTTTATAATCAAACACGAATTATAAGTTTGAATTCTCAAGTAAAATCAAATAGGTGTCCGTAGTGAAAACATGTAGGTGTAGTAGCAATATTCGAGTCTTGCAAATGCACTTAAAATTTGAGATTATACTACAGAAAAAAGTTTTATAAGGGTAACAAGATGGGCCTTGAAAAAATGTTGGGTAATTGGATTAGTTGGGAAATATATGGCCCGCCCGCCCGCCCGCATTCGGGTTGTCACCACCTCGGTGATCAACCCTCTTCTCCCCCAAATCCCAAACTCATCTCCGCTCCGTTCATCATCAAATTATAGGGTTTCAAATCCCACCCGACCTGAGCATTCTTGACTGATTAGCTTTTTTGTTTGTTTTAATAGTTTTGCGTAAATACTTGTCCATTCCATTATTCTCTAGAGAGTGCAAAATTTTTGCAGTGTAGCGATCGGAGAAAGAGATGAAGGTCACATCGGATTCGTCCTCACCCGCTTCCCTTCCCAGAGGGAGGTTCCCGCCCGGGTTTAGATTCCACCCTACGGACGAGGAGCTGATTTTGTATTACCTGAAGAGGAAAATCTGCCACAGGCGGATCTTGATCGACGCCATCTGCGAGACGGACGTCTACAAGTGGGACCCAGAAGACTTGCCTGGTATGGATGGATGTTCATCCGCTTCGTTTACTATCTCTCTATCTCTTGTTATGCTTCCATTTATTGGCTTTTTTTTGTGTGGGTTTTTCTTGGACCAGTGTATTAGTCTTGAGACTGGTGACAAAATGTTCTTGGTGGGTGTATAAATGTTCTTCGGGGTGGTTGGTGTTTCTTTGATGATGGATAAGACATTATACGCATTCGATTCATTTGATTTCGCATAAGATGCCTAATTTGCTTTTTGATGTAGAACCTTTAATCCCCTGATTTACAAACTAGCATGTCTAGAAATATGAAAATGAAGACACTGGTGTGGATCATAAGCAATTTAGGGATATGAAGAGACAGGTTTTGTGGGAGTCGAGTGAGTAGCTCGTTAGATTTAAGGGATAGGAAAAAACGCTTCTCCCGTAATCTGTTTTTTGTAATATTTTATCAACAAAGTTCATAGCCTATATTTCGTGATTCAAGTCCATGAATTGAGTTGATATTCGGTCTTTGGTACAATTAGCTAATAATATCTGGAATTTTCAAAAAATGCAGAGCTGTCAAAATTGAAAACTGGAGACAGGCAATGGTTCTTCTTCAGCCCGAAAGACCGCAAGTATCCAAATAGAGTGAGGTCACACAGAGCAACCGAACATGGATATTGGAAAGCGTCTGGAAAGGACCGGATAATTACTTGCAACTCTCGTTCTGTAGGTGTAAAGAAGACGCTGGTCTTTTACAAAGGCCGGGCACCATCTGGTATAAGAACAGATTGGGTGATGCATGAGTACACCCTTGACGAAGAAGAGTTCAGAAGGTGCTGTTCTGCACAGCAGGACTACTATGTACTGTACAAGGTCTTTAAGAAGAGTGGGGCTGGCCCAAAGAACTTTGAGAGTTATGGAGCACCGTTTAATGAAGAAGAGTGGGAGAAAGATGAAGATAATGATGTTGAAGAAATTTTAGATCAGGAGAAAGCTACGGATCCCGTGAATGAGGTTATTGCTTTGATCGATAACACTAAAGAAACACCTAATACTCAATTTGAATGCCCAGGAAATGTTGATATCGAGGGAGTCTGGCTGAACACTACTGGAAATGAGGCCCCACTTATACAAGCCCTGGCCGCTGATGAGGAGCCGCAAACAGGGGAGGAACAGGATAGAGAAGGTATTATGCCAGAGCAAAATGTTCTAACCCATGTGACCACCACCTTACAACAACACGGTAATGTGCAAGACATTAACTTTGAAGTGACACAACCACCTCAAGTGGTGTTGCAGAAGGAGGCACCTCATGTGGTCACATCTTTAACTGCTTCCTGCCCGGAAAAGACTCAAGATTTGGCAGGAGTGGATCTCCTTGAAGATTTTCTGGAAATAGACGATCTTACTGCCGGGTTCAATGGGGAGCAAGTGCAGAAATTGGACACTCAACTGGTTGATTGTTTTGACGGATTGGGTGGACTTGACATGTATCAAGATGCTGCATCAGTGTTTCTTGATGATGATGGTGTGGGGGGGACAATGGAAGGCTGCGGGCAGGCTGCTGCTACTGAACCACCACACCATGTGAACAACAATGCCATTGTAAACCCAGTTTCCACTTTCTTTAGTGACTTTCCTGAACTGGTTGTGAACAACAGCCAGCAGCAATTCTATTTCAACAACGAGGGGAATGGAGTCAGCAATCACCACATGTGGATGCCGCATCATAATCATCAGAGCCCCCATATCTTGTCCACCTCTCAAGCATCAATCCAGGGGGGCATCCCTCCAGGTACTGAAACTATTGTTGTGTCACTAATTACTGAAGTTTACTTGGGACAAAGAAAGGAACAAGTGAAGTTTGTGGTGTAGGGATTAACATTGTGACTATGCTTCTTCTTCTTCTTGAATGCTTTTATTAGTGAAAATTGTCTTGTTTGTGGTGACCTGAGTTTGAGGGAGAGTTCTCGGGCAGTTGTTTTCCCGAGCGAAAACCGGAGAGTTTGAGCTCAGTAGTTGAAGAGTGAGCTCATCTCCGTCTTAGAAGTAGGCTATTATGATGATTTTATTGTGATGAGGGGCTCTAATTTTAATCAATTTTTTGGTGGATGCATATTATAGGTGTAAATTACAATAACAACTATCTCATGCCGGGAACCGTTCAAAACACCAGACAGGATGATGACCCTGCAGTAACAAACTCAAGCTTCTCGGCTGCTCTATGGGCTTTCTTGGAATCAATACCCACAACCCCTGCCTCGGCTTCAGAAAAAGCTATGGTGATTAATACGAGCACCACATTTGAACGGATGACTAGCTTTGCGAGGTTGAAAAGGAAAAATGGCAAGAGCGTGAATGTCCTTGTAGCTGCAGGTACTACTACTACTACTACGACTACTACTATTACTACAACAAAAAGAAATCCAAGGGGCAGCGGTGGATTTCTTTGTTTTTCTTTGCTTGGACTGCTATGTGCCATGTTATGGTTATTCTTTGCACCTTCTTTTGACGGCGTTGCGTTGCTTAGCTGACGTCTATATTCTTCTTCTTGAATATAAAACATAAATATAATTGTAAATGGGATGTTTGCAGCGATTATAATAACTTTCAATAGTAGTCTAAATTCTATTTAATTACTTTTGTTTATTGGTTATGGCTTTGATAATGGAATTGGACACATATCTTGGATATACTCCCTCTGTTCTGTTTTAAATTGTCCGTTTTGACTTTTGGACATATTTAAGGAAGAGAAAAAATAGAGTTGACTTTCCGAAATTGTCATTTACTTTTTATGAGGGGTGAAGATGAATGAGAAGATAATGTGGAGAAGAGTGACTTATTTTAGGGGTAGTTTAGGTATTTTACTCTTAAAAGTTTACAATAACAAGAAACAAGTAACTTATTTTGGAACGGAGAAAAAAGTAAAACAGATAATTTAAAATGAGACAGAGGGAGTAGTATATTTTGCATTTTGATCCTATTTTGTCCCTTGTAAAGCATACCTCAAGATATCGTTTGGAGACATTTACAAATGGACTCGATTGTTTTGACCAGAACTAGGGACCAATAATCTCCAAAGGTTCCAATAATCCATTCTAGCTACAACTTGTATTAATATTGTGGAGCACCATACAATAGCTACGTATAAAAGCTTAGTAATTTATTTGTAGACCGAAATTACACGATCGGAAAGATAGAATACACTACAATATTCCATAATTTATGCTATGAGTAGAATTATTATTATAATTATTTATTATTATTAGCACAAGGGCATATCTGGAGGAGGAGGCAGCATTTTCTGGTCAGGTCTCTTCCCATCTTTGACAATGAAACTCATCTCCATCCCCCAACTCGTGTGCCTCTCCAAATGACAATGCATAAACCACACCCCTGCATCCATACATTCATATTTAATTATTTTAATTAATGACCATATATATACATACATACATACATACATACATACATACATACATACATACATACATACATACATATATATATATATATATATATATATATATATATATATATATATATTATATAGCCTAAGCATTATTTATTCTCGTTGTCTTGATTGGGTTCATGTTTTGATCAAAGTTTTGACCAAAATATATATTAATCCGAAATTATAATGGGATCAAATGGAACATTCTCTAATAAAAACAAATAGAAGACGTCTTACCTGGATTGTCGGCTTTGAACCTAATGGCGGTCCAAGCGTTTCTTGGGACGGCGATGGTGTTCATCAAGGGAGGATCCACCAGGTTGTACTTGGTCAACGGATCTTTATCTTTGTCGAAATTCCCCATATCCGACCCCACCACGTAAAAGCTAAACCCATGCAGGTGCATGGGATGGTCGATTCCCGCCACCAAATTCGTCCCCTGGAACACAAGCTCCACCGTCGACCCGTACTCCAGCACCACCACCTTCGCCGTCGTGTTCCTCTCCGGAACCTGCAGATTGAGCGGCAGGTTGTCTCCGGTGAAATTGAATGCCAGCGGCGGGACCCGCGGGAAGTCATCCGAGTACACTCCGGCCGCGCTGTAACGGCCGGAGTAGGCCTCGAGGATGTCGACTCCCGGGAGGATGAAGCTGTTGTTGTTCACGCTGGCCGCGAACATCGTCCCGTTGGGCCCCGCGCAGGGCGATGACGTGTTGCACGGGCGGGTGTTGATGGAGACGGTGAAGTAGAGATGGGTCGTCACGTTCAGCGGCACGTCGATGGGGTGGTCACTGTCGTCTAAGCTTCGGAGCCTCCGGGTGAAGTTGATTGAGCTTGCATCGTTGGTGTGGTCTGGGAGAACTGGGAAAAACGGGGCCGAGGACGGGGTGTAGTTTCCGGAGTACTGGAGGATGCCGGTGGCTACGGTGCTGTCATACTTGACCCTGGTGGCCGTGTTCAGGGCGCGGGCGGCCATGTAATAATGATCGGAGGTTTGGTTTGGTTGGAGGAGGAGGTCGAGGGTCTGGCCGGGGGATATGACGGCGTAGTCAGCTTTGAATGGCTTGGTGTAGCTGCCGTCAGTTCCGACCACCGTGAGCTGGTGGTTGGCGATGGAGAAGAACATGATGTTGTTCATTACGGCGTTCACCATTCGGAGCAGATATGTTTTTCCCCTCTCCACTGTCAACCTAAATGTGTCTGCATGAAATTATTTACGAGTAATTTTAACCAAACAATAATGATCAAATTTATAAGACAATATATACGGAGTATACATTTCTATTGTGTCACATAATTACTATCTCACTGCACGCATAAATAATTGTCTAAAATATACTGTAAATTAAGTATAGATGAGTTGTATAAATAAATAAATAATTAGAGTTGGCACCATTTTGTGAGCAGGGAAATCGATCCCCGGGTTGACCATTAATAAGAAAAGCATCAGAGACATTTGGATCTCCACCCGTTGCTAGGAACTCTTTTACCACTTGTTGCACGTGTGACTTCCACCACTCTCCTGCACCACCACCACCAACCATTATGTACGTACATATTATTTGATGATTTGGAGTGTCTTTTGGTTAAGGAGAATATAATATTTGAGAACAATATTTTTAAAAGGAAAATGATTTGTAAATTGGAAGGGTTTCCATGACATTGAATTGGAATCCTATGTTATGGGATGACATGTTCCCGGGAGGTGATACGGCATCTCGTTCGTAAAAATTGACACTTCTTACCCCTGGTAACCCCACCCAATCCCGACCCGAACACACCCTCGATCACCCCCTTCAATTACACCCCCAAGTTAATTTTGAGTTTGAATTCAATGTGAAGGTGTGTTCGGGTAGGTGTGGGGTGGGGGGTTCATCGAGGAGTTAGAAGGGATAGAAATTAAACTGTAGTGATCCCAGGTCATCTCATGGCATTACCGGACAATATCACATGAACCGCTGCGTTTGTAAATATACCTACGTACCTAAAATGATGGGAACTTCCACATCCGGTTTTGCATAGGGATAGTGATCAGTTCCGTTGGCGGGATAGACGATAATGGCGCCGTGAACGGTGGCGCGTGACCAGTCGCTATGAGCGTGCCACCATATCGTTCCCTCTTCGTCGGACAGTAAAAGTGTCTGGGTGAAATTCCTGCCCGGCTGGATTGGACACTGGGTGATAAATTCTGGGCCATCTGACCATGGATTCCTAGGCTGTTTCACCCCGTGCCTGCGGTAAATCAACTTTATTACTGTACTATATAAAATTACCGCGACAACAATATTTATAATTAAAATAATTAACGAAGAATATGTATGCATGTATACTACGAGTACAGAAATTAACATAAATAAATAATTAACCAGTGAAGGGTTATGTTTTGGTTTCCATTGTTGAAGACTCGGACAATAATGGTGTCCCCTCTGTGGGCATATAGAGTTGGGCCTGGGAAGCTTCCGTTCACCGTCAAGATTTTCTTGCTGCTGCAAAGCCTTGTATACTCTGCTTCTTCTACCTGCATGCATGGGGTACGTTGAATATTCTCAATAATTAATTAGGAATTGTGAAAATGAATGACTAAATAAATCAAGAAGAACAAGAATAAAAATCAATGATAATTAATACTCCGTAGTAATTAATTAGGCCAGGGCCTTTTCATATACAGTACGTACGATGAAGGTATGACGAAGAACTTTTGCTTGGGTGAGTTGGAGAAGGGAACCAATAATGAGAAGACAATTCAAGGCTAGAACTAATCTCGTCATAATGGACCACATTTCAACTATCAATTTCTTGTTTTCTTGTAGCTATTTGGAAACGAGATTGTATGTATATATATATATATATATGTAGTTTAACTTCGCAGATTATAATAATGTTATTTAACAATATTAATAAACGGAACGATAATAATAATATAATGGGAGAAAGAAGAGGCACCAATGTTAGGTGCATTTATAAGCTTAGGGTAGTAGTAGTAGTAGTTACGAATGTTATTTGTAATGTGGTGCGTGCAAGCGGTTCAATTTAGAAATTCTACGCGGAATTTCGTTCGTGGAAAAAGAAGAAGAAGAAGAAGAAATTAAATTTCCACACGGCGACCCCGGCCTGTAGCAGGCTCCTCCTACATGTTACATTCCCTTTTGACTTTTGAGATAAATTCATCCTCGTCTAGGTGTAACTTAGGTGGCGGGCCTGATAGAATGTAAGATGTACTCCCTCCGTTTTTTAAAACATTTTCTCTTTCATTTTTTTCACTCCCAACAAAACACTTCCACTTTCTATTAAAAAATCACTTTTACCCTTACTTTCTCGTACCCTACCTATCACATCATACTTTTTCTCTAATAATTTATCCATCACATTTTACTTTTATCCATCACATCAGGGGTAAAATTGGAAATCAACTATAATTTAACACTTTCTTATTTTTTCCCAAAATCAAAATGGGAAGGGTTTTTCCAAACGGATAGAGTATATAATGGTAGCGAACAAGGTGTGAATTATTATGATTTGTTGAAATTGAAATGTGTTAAATTTTGATTGATTTTAGATGAAAAAACTTAGAAGAAAAGAGAGAGAGAGGGACGACAATGCCCGTGTGACCACGGTCAAGCTAAGCCTGCTTCGTCACGCCGGTGGTGTTGTGGTGGTTATGCCGTGACGGAGCCTGACGCCTTCTTCAAACCGGTGGAGTCTTACCGTTAGAAATCCCCCATTTTCTCCATTAGACAAAAACTACGCCCTACTTTAATTACTCCTACATGTTTTTTACTCTATACCCCCACCCCGTTCATAATTTATTTACATTGTTTGACTAACGTGTAAAATTTTACTCCCTCCGTCCCGTTTTAAATCGCTCGTTTTTATTTTTGGGCATATTTAAGGAAAATTAAAAATAGAGTTGATTTTTTGAAATTGTCAATACTTTTTAGGAGGGATGATGGTGAATGAGAATATAATGTGGAGAAGATTGACTTATTTTAGAGGTAGTTTAGGTATTTTATTTTTAAAAGTTTACGAAAACAACTAACAGGCAACTTATTTTGGGACGGAGAAAAAAGACAAACAGACAATTTAAAATGGGACAGATGGAGTATTTTTTAAGAAAAATATTTTACCTATGAATTGTTGTAAAAATAAAAAAATTACAGTACAAATTGCACATTTAATAAAATATATCTAAAATTCTACAAAAACAAGATTCGATAAAGATATTTCATTTTATAAAATGATAAGGTATTTTTAGCTAGTACATTTAAATCTAGTAATATTTGTTCATATTTTAAAAATATCTTAAGTGAATGTTCTATTCGCATTACTTAAAAAACGTCTCATTGTTTAATTTACAAATCAAAAGTCAATGCGGCCGAAATGCATGTCCATTTTGAATTTGAGGGTTTGCTACAAACGTTAAATAATTTTTTTTTAAATATTACATATATACCCAAATAAAATACACAATTCAGTTTAAGGTTGTTAAGTAAATTTTTTTAAATTTATTATAAAATCAATGCAGAAAGATATTACATAGCTATAAAATCAAACTTCATTCACTTTTAAGTCAGTACTAGTTTTGTAGATCTTTTGATGTAGTATTTTAATATATATTTTACATTTTCATAAAAATAATTTCAAATTTATTTCAGTCAAATATCATAAATCAAAATAAGCTATATGAATTGGGATGGTAAAAGTATATTTTTGCCAAACAAGAAAACAAACTACTTTGGGACCTTAGTTTTCAAGCATGCACATGTTTCATACTCAATTCAAATACTTAATCTAAATAGATAATCCCTCCATTCCAAAAAATCTTTGATATATCTTTTTTCCTATCCTACAAAATTCTTTATATTTTGTATTAAAAAACTATTTTTACCCCGACTAGTTCTTAGCTTACATATTACATCGTACTTTTTTTCTAATAATCCACATATCACATTATACTTTTATCTACCACAGCAATGGTATTTTTGAAAAGTCAACACAAAATTATCTCTTCCTTCAATTTTCTAAAAATCAAAATGGAAACATTTTTATGAGACAAAGAAAGTACATGTTATAAAACTTTGATATATCAAAAGTATTTCCTAAGTTTCATTCAGTTATATAAAATTTATATTATAATCCAATATACTTTTTGCATAATTTATACTCCCTCCGTCCATAAAAGAACTTCCCACTTTCCTATTTGGGATGTCCACAAATAAACTTCCCATTTCCTTTTTTGGAAACTTTTTTAGGTTAAAAAGACTCTATTGCCCTCCCACTCCTCTTTTCTTTCTCCGGTCAAGCCAGCAACCAACCCCCTACTTTCTTCTTTTCTTCTTTCTTTTCTCCTTCCTCTTGCTTTCGGTTCTGTTTTTTTCCTTTTCATTCTTCTTTCTTCTTTCTCCACTCTTCCTCCTCTTTCCTTTTTTCTTTTTTTCTCTTTTCTCTTCTATCCCTTCCGATTCTATAGAGCCATCCCTCTTCCTTCTTTTTTTTCTTCTCTCCCGTCCACCCAATATATCCTCTTCTTCTTCAATCTTTTCTTCTTCTTTTTTTCTCTC